AGGTATCTAAGGTAGGACTGGTGTACTTTTCGTTTTGAACCTGAATATTTTCTTAAATTATTTGCATTTTTCCAAATCCGATGTGATTTCAGGAAAACATCAGTAGTTCTCGAATAGAAAACACGCTTTTTGATAAATGTCATTGTTACGACACTCTGTTGTTAACATTGCGAAAAAGGCAACTGCTCAAGACAATGACAGAAATATGCGAGTTGCCCTAATGTTATTTTTTAAAAAAAACGATCCTGAGCCTGAATTTTCTTAGCAACAATATTCTTAAAAGACAGCAAAGCAAGAAACAACTCAAAGAAACACCTGATGGATACATAGCACACTTTATGCGAGTTTTGTCTGCAAATGAAGGTAACTGACGCTCTAACTCTTAAGATTATTTGATTTTGACAAAAATACTCAAAGTTGAAAAGTTCCAAAGAGATTTTGTCTTAAGTAGTATAAGTTCTCTAACTTTTTCGGTCCTCTACATGTAGATCCCTAATAGAATAGCTCTTCATGAAAAAAACAATGTTATCCATCCAAGTATGCTCTGGACCGACTGCAGCGTGAGTACTTTTATGGATCGACTCAGGGTATTTAGAATATGTGTGCTAACTAAAAACGATTCAAAGACTTTTACAAAAATGAGATCAAGTATGCAACATAATTTCTCTAGGGCTACATAGTTTTTTGGAGATTTCATAATCTAACTCAAAAAGTGTTTTTGAAAAAGTACAAAGAGTTTCGGTACCGCAAAATTTAAAGATGGCACGAAGTAGCGGAAATAAAGCATGCCGAAATTCTATTCGTCAAACACTCTCCATTATGGTTTTGGCAAATACGCCATGACAGACGCCTTGTCTTTGACATTTTTGCCCATCTGTTTATTGTCTTTCTCTCGTGCTAGGCGGAGAAGAATCTGTTTCACTGCTTGCCAACCAACGACATCCTCTTCTTGCTGGCTTGCTTCTATTGCTGTTTGTCGTACATATTCCTTCATTCCATTGGCTATGAAACTTGTTTTCTTTTTCTAAAACCTTCTCACCAAGATTTCCATTAAAGTGAGTCCTGCGCTGCGCCTGATCGATAGCACAGGGTATTTCTCCAATTTCCTCGAACTTTTCTTATTGCCTTGCAATGCTCCTATAACCAGGGGCGGACTGGCTGGTCGGGCTATTCGGGCGATTGCCCGAAGGGCCGGTCGGTTTAAGGGCCGGCTGATAAAAGTGCAAATATAATAAATTAGCTTAGAAAGTGAATGCGAAGCAAAAAAGTATACCCACGCGTTGATTTTTTTGCCTTGAATTTTCAGAGACTTTGTGGAAAGAATAAATATACATGTTATTGACATGGGCTCCGACAAAGGGTTGAATAGTGGGAGGCCAAGGGAAAATTTAACACCCATAACAAAAGATTTTGAAAAAAACTCTATTGTTTTGCAAAAAAGTGGGGGAGGGGCTAAGGCCCCCCGCCCCCCCCCCCTTCGTCGGAGGCCCTGATTGACATCTTGTTATATTTTCTCTTGACAGTGTTTCCTTTTGGCGACATATTATACTGTAACACACCTGCTTCAATGCGATACATAAGATTTTAACCTGCCTTGATGTCTTTTTACTTAGCTTTTGCTTGAAGCTGGTCATGTTTTTGCCTAAGCACAAGCTATTGCTGAATGTAATAAATTTAAAAGTACAAAAATTAGAGTTCACTGAGCGATTTCCTCTGTGATGTGAAGCAATGAAGAGGACATACGTAGAACAAGGGAAGAGCAAGAAGACTCCAACCAAAGGTGGTGCACATTCGTGAGGAAAAGCTGCGAGACTTAAAAAAGGATTCAGCTACGATACAAAGCTTTTTTATCAAGCAAAAGCCACAAACGTCACAAAAACAGCAGGGTCTTTACTCTTTAGTTTGCAAATGACATATTTAACAAGTTCTGTTAACCATATTCTGTTAATCAGCATTCATCCATGCACAAAATTACTGAATTTAAAAACTTGTTTTCCTTACAGACTAACGTTTACTTGCATTTTCCGAGGAGCTTTTTATTTGCTATTATTGTGGGCCGGTTTGATAAAAATTTGCCCGGGCCAAAAAAATTAGCCAGTCCGCCCCTGCCTATAACCCAAAGTTTATCTAGCTGTCTAGCCAGGGGTGCCGTCCTAAAAAGTTAGGAAAGGGGGCCCGGGCTGTGCTAGGAATCAATGACACAAAAAGACTGATAAGGAATTGATTTTATAAGGAATCTTTGGCGTAATGAAGAGTTGCCAAAGCAAAATTCATTCTCACTTGAACTCACATGTTAATAAGGGGGGCTGAGCGCCCAAAAATCTCTCTATTTCTAACAAGGGAGGTTGTGTCTAGCTGTTTGTTAAAGGACAACTTAGACTTCCTTGTGTTGTCACTTGCCAGAAAAACAGACATCCTATTTCGATTCTTGCTCCTCGCTCTCAGCAAATTTTCGGAAGTCTACAGTTGTTTAAAGCAAGGAAAACTTATTTTTCAACACACTGGCAACGATCTAGCCTGAGTTCCAGACCCGAAACTATTTGGAGTCTGGGGCTCAGGCTTGCAACGATCGAGAAACCTGCATCTTCTTCCTGCATACCTTGTGTTTAACCTTCATCGTAAGATTAGGTGAATGGCAAGTAATCAAATGAAATTTCAACGACTGTTAAAATGAAGAAAATTTACGAAATCAGACCTCTCAAGCTTCAAGTTTGAAAATGAATGAGTTTTGTTAAAAGGTCGGACAAATGTTCGGGCTGCTATGGAATCTCAAGGCCAGGGGACCCAAAACTAATATTTTGTGCCACACAAAAAGTGGGAGCTGAGGGCCTTGTTACAGAAAATTTCTGGCTAAGTCAGTTGGTCCATGAGTAACACGTGTGTTCCTGAAAGTTAAAACTGGACCTTAATCTCTGTTTGTAAGCTGCATAAAATGTACCCTTCTCTCTGACTTTGCAAGAGTTCATTTATTTTAATTTAAACAACGAACCCTCGTGGATCGTGATATAAATTGACAAAATGTAAAACTTTAAATGCAACATATTGCTTACTTCATATGATCTCAATGTTTTGTATGAAGAAATTGAATTGTTGTGTCAAGTTCCAAATAATACCTTACAATGAGTACAAACTAGCAATAACTTAAAACTTCTTATCTAGGATTAAAACTATTAACAAGGTTAGACGACACTGCGAAATTCGCCATATTTTAATAGCTATTGATTTACAAAAAAATTATCTGTCGCATCATATCAGTAAATTCCTATCCTTTTGTGGCCGCTCTAACTGAGTAAAGTTTTTTCTGTTAACTAGCATAGGCAAGGCCTAGGTAGGGAAGAGGGTTTTTGATAGGATTTGTTAAAATTGATTACCGTATTTCCTCTAAAGAACGCCGCGGCGTTCATTACAAAATCCAAATTTTGGATGCGGCGTTTAATAGAGGGCGGCGTTCAATACAAACTGAAAAGTTCGTAATATGAAAAATGACAAGGAGAGTGCGATGAAAAAGATATTTACAAACTTTAAGCAATGTTTCCTTTTCCAAAAACATGTAATAAAGATTGTGAATTCATTTTAAAAGTTCACAAAAGATGTGTTAACGTTATAGAATTGTCAAGGAATGTCGAAATTCTTGTCTCCGTCAGAGTTTTTCCTTGTCTATCACATAACAACTTCATAGCTTTCGAATAGTAAGCGTGTAAACAATTTGTTACTTCTTGTTTCGGGTGTTTCCTGTTGCACTCCGCTTTTCAAGATGCAGCGTTCATCAGAGGGCGGCGTTTTTTATAAATGGTTGGCTTAAGTTGCGGCGTTCAAGAGAGGGCGGCGTTTATCAGAGGGCGGCGTTTATCAGAGGGCGGCGTTCAATAGAGGAAATACGGTAACTTATTTAAACCAAGAACCCCCAAGATTCAAGAACCTTGTCAGGGAGCGGTGTCGCTGGGCCTCTTGTCAGTTTCTCGAATATGAGGCTGCCAGTCAATTATAAAGTTTGATTTGGCGGGTCAAAAGAAGTAGAGGTTTGTTTATATGTTTTGCTATGCTTTTATATTGTCTTTATGCAAGCTGGACTACTAAATGTTTTCCTATAAGTTTATTGCACAGACTTTATTGATATTTGTTTTTATCGAATCGATTCTCCAGCCAGCAGAGCATGTTGGTAAATGGATCATCTTTGTGTCGCACACGTGCAAAAATCTTTATACCAATTAGGGGTAACAAATAGGGGTACCAAATGGGGGTACGCACGGATAGAGTTTTCCCCTGATGCCGATTCGTTTGAAGACTGGCAGAAAACATTATAAAACGGACGTTGATTAATGATGCAACTTATAATGAATTCATTACAATGTTGCAAGTTCAGAAGCCGATACGGTACGAATGTTTTCACGCCTAGGCCACCCGGTCTGCATAGTATGGCACTTTTCGACGAGATCTCCGGTGTGCACGAGCAAAAAGCCTGGTGTGCCGGTGTGCACCACCAAACCTTTCTGGTGTGCTGGTGTGCACCAGCTATTTTCCCCTGTTGTGGTTAAAGTTTGTAAATTTGAATTTTACCGTAAAAATGCGAAGGAGCCTCACATGCCTTCTTCTTTTGCCCGCCCTTTCTTCTTTTTATCTGGGTAATTCCAATAGAAGCCACAGAATTTTCTATGGGACCACAACCAGCCACGCCCATCTTCATCTTAGTTGCCACACCCAAAAATACCCGGTGTGCAACAGGTTTTGCACAAAAATATCTCCAGTGTGCACATGCCATACTCTGCGCAGACAGGTAGGCCACCACATTTCATTTCATTTTATATTCTTTATACACAAAAATCCCTTCAGCTTACAACTGAATACCAAATAAGAAAATAAATACCCTAGTTACATCAATACAATTTATATACAGTTAAATCTAAATTATGCACAGTAATCTATCTTATCCCAGCTGCTCTTCCAGGGGTCGTGTTTTATGTTGCGTTCAGCTAGTATCATAACTTTTAAATTGCTTTTTGAATTTACTAAGTGTAGAGAGCTCTCTGATATTGATGGGAATATTGTTCCAGGCTTTCAGAGCCGAACAGTGAAAGACTTTCTTGACGTATTCAAGGTTATTTCTTGGGAATTGTAGGTCCTTGCAATTCCTTGCTCTGTAGTTGGAGTGCTGGGACCAGTTGTCTTTTAGTCTGGCCTTATCAATAATCGAGCGTGCTCTGTCCTGCAGACATTGGAGTGTACTCAATTTTGATTTAGGAAGACTTTCCCCCAATAACATTAGCGTATCTTAGATGGCTTTCGATAAGTGCACGGTACACATGGTCGAGCTGGGATAGTGAAATAAGATTTTTCAGTTTTTTTAGCGACTTCAGACCGCCGTTAATCTTTCCTTTCACTTTGCTGAATTGGTCATCCCAGTTTAGCCTTCGTCCACCATAACCCCTAATGATTTGGTCTTTGCAACTCGCTTTATTTCTGAATCATTAAGGTGCAGTGGTTTTGAGATTTCTTTATTTAAAAAAAGACAATACTGGTCCGCAATTTTCAATGCGACATTCGATCATCTAGACCATAGAAATATGTCTAGACATTCGGAAAATTTTGGTTCAGTATAAGAAAATCAGAACCATAACAAAATAAAACCTTGCTCAAAATCAAAACCTCAATATCAAAGTTTGTTTCAGTAAACAAAGAATCCAAGGTGAGTCTCTCGGTTCTCTAAAAACATCTTCAATGTGTCTGTGAAAACACTTGGGCCCAGAATTAGACATCTGCGAACTTTCAAACGCTTGCATACAAAACTCTTTTTTTAGAGATCCTGCTCACAATCGGAGAAACATTAAAGGCAAATAAATAGATATATTACCAAGCTATTCTCACCTGAAATATTTTCCAATTCAGTTGTGATTTAGTAAAGAAACAGATGCAAATTGCCACAGCACTCACACCACTGTTTCAGCCAAGAAAACGGTGACAACACGAGTGTTTGAAACTTTGCAGAGTGTCTTGAAATAACGTATCTCAGATGTTGTTAAAGGTCTCCTGTGTCCTGTTGTTTTGTCTTTATGGAGCAAAGTTCCAGATTTGACCTCCATACTGGATCCTTATAAAAGGCTATATACTGGTGTTTGTAACCAAAAATCTCCTAGAGTTCTGAACGAAATTCAAGGAAACTTTACAGTATATCTTGGAACAATGTATCTCAGATGTTTTTTAAGGTCTCCTGATGTTTTGTCTTTCTGTAGCAAAGTTCCAGATTTGACCCCCATACTGAATCCTTATAAAAGGCTAAATACTTCAGTTCAGTTCAGTTTTATTTTAAATTTCACTGGATACATACACTTATTGCAAATTAGAAATAATCCAAGCTTAAAAGTATAAACAATGTAAAAGGAAGTTAAATAATATAAACGTAACATAACAAATACAGAGTAGAGGAGAAACAAGCTAGTATTGTAAACAGGGAATTATTTAAAGGAGGAAACTTTCCCAGTAGTTTATAAACTAATCGAGGAGAAAGCACCCCCTAGTAAATTAGATGTGTTCTGCTTAATTTTTTAGTTCTAAAAGTAAAATGAATCATCTGTAAATTGCTATCAGTCATCCACAGAAAAATATCATCTATTTATAGACTAAGTTTAAAAACCATCATTGACTACTATGTTGTTTTGTAAAAATATTTTAAGATTGTTTTTAAAAGAATATTTTGAAGGAGAATTTCTAATTTCTACTGGTAGGTCATTCCACATTTTTGCCCCCATATATCGAATAGACTTCAGGCCATACCGAAAACTGTTCCTATGAGTCAAAAACAAATTACCGCGATTAGATTGTCTAGTAGAGTGTTGGTGAATATTTGCATTGAAAGAGAAGTAATCATGAAAGCAAGAGGGATTTTTCTTGTTTATAGATTCATACACAAATGTTAATAGTCTTAGCTGAAAAATGTCTTGAAGTCTGAGAAGTTTAAGCTTTTTAAAAATGGGAAGAGAGGGAGAACGAAAGGGTTGATGAGAAATAGCTCTGACAGCCTTTTTTTGCAGCTTGAATATTGGCTCCAGGTATGAGTCATATGTTTGTCCCCAGACAGTGATGCCATATTGTAGAAATGACATGAATAAAGCATTGTAGATACATATCAGTGATTCAGATGTAAGAAGATTTCGAATTCTGAAGAGAATGCCACACGTTCTTGCCAATTTTTTGGAAAGTTCACCAAGATGATACTTCCAGCTTAGGTTTTCATCAAGCAGAAGACCTAGAAACTTAACATATTTGACTCTGGTGATGTGTTTTTTCCCTATTTTAATTACAGTGTCTGGAGGTATTGACAATGAGGTAGAATGGAAGATAATAAAATTAGTTTTGTCTGTGTTCAATGATAGCTTATTGGCATCAAGCCATCTTTTTACGAATTTAAGCTCAATATTAACTGTTTTAACAAGTTTATCAAGAGTTTCGGTATCATAGTAAATGTTGGTGTCATCGGCAAAGAGATAAAATGTCAATTTTCTTGAGACATTAGGCAAGTCATTAATGAAAATTAGAAAGAGAAGAGGTCCAAGTACAGATCCCTGAGGTACACCACAAGTAACATTCATACAATCAGAGTTGGTTCCATTATTTGAAACATATTGGGTTCTATCTGATAGATATGAATAAAACCATCTGAGGGCCTTTCCTCCGATACCATAGCATTCAAGTTTAGAGAGCAAAATATTGTGATTAACCTATCAAAGGCTTTTTGTAAATCGATAAATATACCACAGCCATATTTTTTATTGTCAAGAGTTGACCTCATGACTTCAGTCATACTAATAAGCGTATGTTCAACTGAATGATTTTCCTGGAATCCAAATTGCAAGGGATATATTATTTTGTGGTAGATGAGAAAGGAGTTAAGTCTTCTGTACATTAATCGCTCATACAACTTACTGAATAGAGGTAATAGAGAGATAGGTCTGTAATTAGAGGCTATTTCAGGATCATCTTTTTTGTAAGGGAGATCACTTTAGCCAGCTTGAGTTTAGAAAGAAAGATACCTTCAAGAAAAGACTGATTGACCAGTTTGGCTAGGGCTTCAGAGATGTGAGGGCCTAGAATTTTCAATAAGTCAATTGGGATACTGTGTGGTCCTACAGATTTTGATGGGTCAAGGTTTAGAATTATTTCCTCTACTTCTATGTAGGTCACAGGAGAAAGAAATATTGAATTTTGATTTGTATTAGTAATATAGTCTAGAGGCGATTTTGGTGTTCTTGGCATGTTTCTGGTAATATTGTCTGCAATTTTTACAAAAAAAGTTATTTAGAATATTAGACACTTTAACTGGGTCAGACGTTGTATTTCCGTTTTCGTCTTTGATTTCATTTATGTTAGAAGCAGTAAAGGCCTTATTGGAAATAATTGATTTAATTCCTGACCACAGCTTTTTCATATTTTGACTGTTTATAGAAAAGTAACTTCGAAAATAATTGACTCGAGATTTCTTCAACTCATTAGCCACACGGTTTCTAAATTTTTTGTAGAGATCATGATTAGTCTTTGATCTATCTTTCGTAGTCTTCCTTAAAATGCGATCTGGAATTCGCATCATTTTTTGGATGTTGCTATTGATCCATGGTTTGGTTCTAAGTTTTATTTCTCGTTTCGTGCAATTTTTAATTGGCACATGTTTTTCAACCAAAAAGGTAACATCTTCAAGAAATTTGTTATAGTTAGTTTCAGCATCAGACGAGCAATTTAAATAAGTCAGATCAATTTTTCCAAAGTCTTCAACAAATTTTCTTTCATTAAATCTTGAATAATCGTATTTCAGTATCTTTGGTTTAGTACACGATAACTTAGCGTTTTTTAGAAACAGAAATTGAGGAAAGTGGTCAGATATTTGAGTTACTGGTGTTTGTAACCAAAAATCTCCTGGAGTTCTGAACAAAATTCAAGGAAACTTTACAATATGTCTTGAAACAAGGTATCTCAGATGTTTTTTAAGGTCTCCTCATGTTTTGTCTTTCTGGAGCAAAGTTCCAGATTTAACCCCCATACTAAATCCTTATGAAAGGCTAAAAATTGGTGTTTGTAACCAAAAATCTCCAAGAGTTCTGAACGAAATTTGAAGAAACTCTACAGTATGTATTGAAACAACGTATCTCAGATGTTTTTTAAGGTCTCCTGATGTTTTGTCTTTCTGGATCAGAGTTCCAGATTTGTCCCCCATACTGAAGCTTTAATAAATGCTAAAAACTGGTGTTTGTAACCAAAAATCTCCTAGAGTTCTGAACGAAATTCGAGGAAACTTTACAGTATGTCTTGAAACAACGTATCTCAGATGTTTTTTAAGGTCTCTTGATGTTTTGGCTTTCTGTAGCAAAGTTCCAGATTTGACCCCCATACTGAATTCTTATAAAAGGCTAAAAATTGGTGTTTGTAACCAAAAATCTCCAAGAGTTCTGAACGAAATTCGATTATTTGCTTACAACTTTGGAAAATCAGTTTTTACACCTAGCACTTCATCACCTTACACAATTCAGAATATAAACGTTAGAAGAATTGTGAAGGAAATAGACAGCTGTAGAATGGGACCAGCCACGAAACGCTACATACATATGCCAACCATTGCCATATAAAAAAGGCTATAGCTTTTCCAAACACATTTACAAAATGGGGTGTTTTCCCCAAATTCTTATGGGTATGGTCAGCAAAAATTTTCTTCTCTTTGCCCCGCTAGTCTTCCTACCCTGGCTACGCCACTGATTCTTATCTTCTTTATCACAAAGTTAAAGACTGAATTGAAAAATGGGTTCCATCATCTACCAGTGACCTGGAGGGCGTGGAACCAAAATCCAATTAGTGGCTAACACCCCCCCCCACCTTCAGTTTGAGAAAAATAGGTGATTTTGAGGCGGGACCCTTTACTTCCGGGAGAAACTTTTTAACAATTTTAGGCTGCCATTATGGGACAACTATTGAAGAATGATTTTTTTGGTAATTTTTGTCTGGTACTGCATCCAAAAATACTCCAGATTATCAATTTTGAAGAGGCTATCAAAATCGGGTCAGGAAATATAGGACCTCAAATATAGAAGCAAAAAATTGGCTTCCATCTCCCAGAATTTCGCACAAAAGCCAAAGCTGGAGACTTAGAAGACCATATCTTTGGAATAGTATAAGATTCCAAGCTGACATTTTCAGGATGCTCATGTCGTACATATATGAACATTGACACAAATTTTCATGCAAATCTGAGGTGGTGCGTGAGAGACCACTTAAAAAATTGGTCCATTTGGCATCAAATGACCCGTTAACTTTTGATGGATGTTCTTGGCATATTCTGCAAAGAGTGTGAATCTCAGATTCTCCTTATGCAACAGCTACACGGTAACAAACAGATTCTTTGTTTCATTCATGAACTGGTTTGAAATCATAGATTTTCTTTGGTGTGTCTGGCAGTTAATTTTGCATGAACCAAATTTGCACAAAATCGACGTTAGATAAAACTCTGATAGTAATTGATCATATTGCTTCTTACTCAAATACTTTATGTTATTTGATTTACCTTGTTTAATTTTCCTTTCAGATCGAAATAATATATCATAGATCACATTTAAAGAATGGACCGGATCAGAGATGGCTGGTTCTATGAGAAAAGCGATACTTTTCCTGGACAATCATTTGGTTTAGAAATTGAAAAAGTCCTCTATCACGACAAGTCAAAGTACCAAGATATACTAGTTTTTCAAAGGTGACTTATTTCTTTCAAGGCTGTCCAAAGTTTTCCTCTTCTGTCAGGCTTCTTCTTCATAGACAAGCTTATTTTCATTTTTAACATTCAGCGCTTTTAGAAGAAGGAGTAGAGATAGCAAAACCCAAGGATATGAGCTTGAACTCCATTGATAAATAAGCTAAATTGGCTTTCCCCACAAACCAAGGTTCCTTGTGCACTTTCTTATAAACTTTTGGTCTGAAGCCTTGGTTAAGTTGGTAAGTCTTGCTACACGTTTGATCCTACTCTATGCAAGTCTAGGTAGCGCGCTATGTTGGTTGTAGTAATGAAGTATGTAATTAACACAGGTGTTAAAAGGAGTTATTAGAATAAGCAAGCAAGTAGTCTAGCACGTTAAATGTACATTCAAATTGCAGATCTTGATATAAATCGAAGAGAGTGTTTTCCTTCCATACCATTACAACCCACAGAGTTTATATTGGTCTAGGTGGCTCTGGCCCGCAAAATTTCCATTTGCCACACGTTCAACCCTATTTTCATCTGACCATCAACATAAGCTCTGGAATTTTGAGCTTAACATAAAGCTGAGCCCAAAAACACATCATTTTACTAATAAGATAAACATAGTAACATAACTCAATATATCTAAGTTATTGTTTAATTTTTCTTTGTAGCAAATCGTATGGAACTGTGTTGGTTCTTGATGGAATTATTCAGTGCTCCTCGCGTGATGAGTTTTCTTATCAAGAAATGATTGCAAACATTCCACTTAACTGTCACCCAGATCCTAAGAAGGTATACAAATCCTACAATTAGTTCAACTAGCCAATCAAATTCATTTGCTAAAGAACCTTTTTGTATTTGTCACAACTTTCAAAGTTTCTACTGTATTTTTCAAGTTCGATTAGCATAATGGGAGCCATTGCATTTAAAAGGTGATGGAATTCATGCTTGTCAAGAGAACAAAGAGGAAAAAAGTCATCGTAGAAACCTATGCGTAGGTCTTCCTTTAACAACTTTTGCATCTTATATTAGGGGAGAGGCCTATGTGCCAGCTCCGCACTTTTGTGCCGACTAAAACTGACCGAGCTTGGATAATTTCTAGGTTGGCCGTACAAGTGTAAGCATCACAGTAGGTTGGAAGATAAATAGGCTTTTTGTGTCGGTTCGGCTTGTGAAGATATACCGTAATTCAACTAAAAGTTTTATGGAACTTCCCTAAATTGGGCCATACAATAATGTAGTAGGGAATTCTTTAGACTGAATTCAAGACTTTTTAAGACTTGTTGCTACGGGGAGGGGACGTTTACAAACAAATACTGAGAGCGAAGTATAGGATCACCAGATAACCGATTGGTCAAGAAACCTGAACTTCGAGCAGCTGGCTTTGCTGATTTTTCGCACCCTGGCCAAGATACCAAGATACCAAGGTCAACCGTCCTTGATTGTATCTGGCTCGCCAAGTAGGTCGCAGCTGCCGAATGCCGGGCTAGATTATGATTGTGACATGTTATATTATGTGAAATAAAGACAAAATGCTTTGTAGCGCCAAAGTACTATCTATGCGTCACGTCTTAAGGTGTGTTGATAAAACAAATGAATTGGCTGGGTGTATGCTCATTTTGGTACAGTGATACAATCAATATGTCTTCTATTATTTCGTACACGAAAGATGTCACGTTTGCAGTTATAGTCTTGTTTTAGTTATGCGAACTTTGCTAAAAGCCCATCTACACAAAAGCGTTTTTGAATAGCGAGGTCTTTTGACAGTGAGGAGAAATGCCTTCCCCCTCGGTGCTGGAGCCTCTCTTTCATTGAGGCTCGAGTACCCAGGGTAGCAATGTCAGTTCTGTTACATTGTTTGAAAACATTGATCCACCAAACAATGCATCTTTTGCAATTTGGGTTTCCAGCTTGTTGGCTTGCAGACCAAGGCTAAATAGTGCATCTTTTTCAATTTGGGTTTCCCAGCATTTTGGCTTGCAGACCAAGGCCAAATAATGCATATTTTTCGATTTGGGTTTTTGCAGCTTTTTGGCTTGGAGACCTTAGCCAACTGCATATGACTATAAATAAACATGATCTAATTTATAGATTATTTTTATTTCCCTGGGAAAAAGATAGATGGATATCATGGAGTTGTAAGAATAATACATCACGTCTATTTTCACCTAAAGGTTGAAAAAAGGAATGACGGTAAGCTGTTTACACGTATCCTTTAAAAAGGACCACTTTCCCTTTTCGTTCTTTTCGTCATGGGTAGGCCAACGAAAAAAGTAGCTGTTTCCTGTTTACTACTGGCGCTTTTTGCCAAGTGACAAAAAGGAAGGTAAAATTGAAGCAATTTGGGAGAAACTGTGGCTCCAGAGCGTGGAAACAGACAGTTCAGGGGTTTTCGCAACTTTCCTGATTGAGTTTCACTTGAAGGATCGTGTCGAATACGAAAGTTTTTTGAGAATTAGCCCTGATATTTTGGACGAACTTCAGCCGCACAGCGTGGTGAGAGATGTCCTACACCCTTATTCTTATAAGAATAACTTTATAAGAACACAAGTCTCAAAATTGGTCAAAAGCTGAAAACAAATTAAGAACAAACTGAGGCTGAGCTATTGTAAAATTTAATTTTGAACAATGCTTTATCTCAAAAAAGAGGGTTTTTCAGCCATGTGTGGACGCTTTACGGTGAATATTCAATCATGGCGGCAAATGAAGGTTTTCTCATGCACTGTGTTGGCATATGAGGCCTGAACAACACCTCCCTAGATTGAAAAGCTAGCAATCGCCCTGCTTATACCCTATCAATTTAAGAACAAATTAAGAACAATCCTGCTTAAGATTTTTGAAGAAATTAAGAACAGTCAGCCTCAACGTAAATTTTCTGGTTCTTATGGAAAAGTGTGTAGTCTATACCACCATTTATCAAGTTAGAGGCACTGTTTTGATTCCGAACCAGACGTCATGACGTAACATACATTAGAACGAAGCAAATTCGAAGCAAAAGGTTTTAGCGCCTTGTCAAGAAGACAAAAGAAAAACTTATCCTTTTTCGCTGCAAAAGTTAGGAGAAAGGGTAATGAGGACTGATGATCCTTTTTTCCAATATACACGATCAGTTTTTTCACCCTTTACGTGAAAACGGACGTAAAAAAGGACAGTATATTTCAGCCTTAAAACTTTTAGACACTGCCTCTCTTAGCAGAAATAAATAAACATTTCACAAGCATCGTGTTTTATTGCTACGATTTCAAAATGAAAGAAAGACAAGAGTAAAATGTGATTTGATGAAGCTTGAAATTTGCCTTGTGCGAACATGCTGCTCAGTTTCTTGTTAATTCGCTGGTAAGGAATTGGACTTTACCTTTGCATGCCTTTTCTCTCTGAAAATTGAGCATATAAAGATGACCCTCTTTCATGTAGTTAAAAAATGTTCAAATAAAAAAGGATTGCCTTTCATTCTTCCCAATTTGAAAAGCAAACCAACCTCTTAAGTTCTGTGTTTTCACAAGATTTGATTGCTTTGTAAAAACATTCCAATTTTACTTAGGCCTTACAACCGTATTTGAATTTCCTTCTGTTTTCCCCTGGCTTTGATTTATTTCATAGGTACATATCACATCTGCCCAAGAACCTATAGTCAATTCTGAAATACAGATCCTTTTGTTTTGTGAAGGTTTTGATAATTGGAGGTGGAGACGGCGGAGTTGCACGAGAAGTAGCCAAACACCCTGCTGTAGAAGCAATTGACTTGTGCGAAATTGATGAGGTATTTGTCTTCCTCTGTTTCTTTGACAGATTTTTTCTTAATTTTAGATCCTAGCGTGGTGTCTCGAGTTCGTAAGAACTACTCAGTTGAAACTAGATCTGTTGCACATAGAAAATAAAAGAAATGGACTATTTTCCTTCACAGTATCATTTTTTTTGCCTAGATTAGAAAATTTGCTCTCATTGATTTGTGCAAAAGTATGATAGTGTTCGACTCATTGTGATGGCCAGAAACTGAAGTAATTCTGCAGATTTCAACTTTTGTGTGCATTACATTGTGAATTATTGCAAGTTACTGCACAAGGCGTAGAGCCCTTGTATCAAGAGTAAATATTAAGATTTTGTAATTTAATCTGTTGTTATGGTAAGTTATTTGTTGATTTGATTAAATACTTTTCTTTGTAGATGGTAATTGATGTCAGTAAAAAATTCATTAAAGAAATGTCATCTGGATTTAACAGCCATAAAGTCACAGTTCATATTTGTGATGGATTCAAGTTTCTGGAGAATCATTTGTCACAGTATGATGTCATAATTGCTGACATTAGTGACCCTGAAGGTAAGAATGTTGTCTCGGATTCAATCGATTTGTTTTTAGCTGTGGATATCATGCAGGTAGTATATTATGCATTTAGAATAGCATGCATGTAGTGTATCATGCATTTGGAAATTATGCATGTATTATATCATGCATGTATAGTTTCATGCATGTGCAATATCAAATGCATGTGGATTAACATGTATGCGTAGTTTTGTGCATGTGTAGTTTCATGCTTGTGAAATTTCATGCATATGGAATATCATGCATGTGGAATATCATGCAGATAGTTTACCATGCATATGGAAAATCATGCATGTGTAATTTCATGGATGTGTAGTTTCATGCATGTGTAATTTCATGCATGTGGAATATCATGCATTTAGAATACCATGCATATGGATAATCATGCATGTGGAATATCATTCATGTGTAATTTCATGCATGTGTAATTTCATGCAGATAGTATATCATGCATATGGAAAATCATGCATGTGGAATATCATGCATATGGAAAATCATGCATGTGGAATATTATGCATGTGGAATATCATGCATTTAGAATATAATGCATGTGGAATATCATGCAGATAGTATATCATGCATATGGATTCATGGATGTGTAATTTCATGCATGTGGAATATCATGCATGTGGAATATCATGCATGTGGAATATCATGCAGATAGTATATCATGCATGTGGAATATAATGCATTTAGAATATCATGGATGTGGAACATCATGCAGATAGTTTATCATGCATATGGAAAATCATGGATGTGTAATTTCATGGATGTGTAATTTCATGGATGTGTAATTTCATGGATGTGTAATTTCATGCATGTGTATTTTCATGCTTGTGGAATTTCATGCATCTGGAATATCATGCATGTGGAATATCATGCATGTGTAATTTCATGCATGTGGGATATTATGCATATGTAATTTCATCCATGTGTAATTTCATCCATGTGTAATTTCATGCATGTGTAATTTCATGCATGTGGAATATCATGCATATGGAAAATCATGCATTTAGAATATCATGCATGTGGAATATCACGCAGATAGTATTTCATGCATGTGGAATATCATGCAGATAGTATACCATGCATATGGAAAATCATGCATGTGGAATATCATGCATGTGTAATTTCATGCATGTGGAATATCATGCATGTGGAATATCATGCATGTGGAATATCATGCATGTGGAATATCATGCATGTGGAATATCATGCATGTGGAATATCACGCAGATAGTATTTCATGCATGGGGAATATCATGCAGATAGTTTATCATGCATATGGAAAATCATGGATTAGTAATTTCATGCATGTGTAATTTCATGGATGTGTAATTTCATACATGTGGAATATCATGCATGTGGAATATCATGCATGTGGAATATCATGCAGATAGTATATCATGCATGTGGAATATCATGCAGATAGTTTATCATGCATATGGAAAATCATGGATGTGTAATTTCATGGATGTGTAATTTCATGGATGTGTAATTTCATGCATGCGTAATTTCATGCATGTCGAGTATCATGCATGTGGAAAATCGTGCATTTAGAATATCATGCATGTGGAATATCATACATGTCGAAAATCAAATGCATGTCGATTATCTTACTAATGTAAAAAATATCTGCAATACACTTGCGTACCCTTATTACATAGAATCCTACAATGTATAATGCTTTGTTTTCTCTTTAGTCAAAGTATGGTAATGTCGATAGGATTAAAAAAACCATAATTAATTATGTCAGACTCAGAAAAATTTAACTCAGTTCTAAATTCTTTGTCATGATAATGTTTGAAAAATCAAAATGGCTGCTGTGTGGAGGTTTGTGCTCACCGTGGTGATATTTTCGATAAACCTTTACGTTAAGCGATGTGCATTTGTTAGCTCAGACTGCACTGGACTTTCGTTGATTGGAGAGGAAGCTAAGGAGACCAAATATGGAGAGTCATTTATTTGCTCAAGCCTGTGGCAAGCAAGAGATGGAAAGTTTTTATTTCGCATGCGAACGTCGAAGCAAAGATTTTTTAGCATTTTAATCCTTATGTGTGGCGATGTGGAGCAATGTCCCGGGCCTGGAAATTTTAAAAGGAACATCTCAGAATTAACCTCATTGACTAACAACAAAGGAATGAAAATCTTTCACCAAAACGTGAGGGGACTCTTTGGAAACCTTGGACATGTGTCTGAACTGCTACAAAGTTTTCCAGGCATTGACATTTTGTCACTGAGTGAAACACACATCGAAGCGGGATTTGAGCAAGAGGAAGCAATATACGACGTACCTGGCTACTCTTTCATAAATCGTCCAAGGAAGTTTGGAAAAGGTGGAGAAGTTGGAGCGTATATCGGTGATGGTGTAGTTTGGGATCGACGATACGATTCAGAAAATGATAACATCGAAGCAATCTGGATTGAGATTAGGCCAAAACATTCGAAGAGTTTCCTAGTGGGAATTATGTATCGTCCTCCTGATAGCTCTAAATATCTTAGTAAAGATTTCAACAACCATTTGAATAGCATGCTTTCTAAAGGGTCTGAAAAATCACAAGAGAAAATCCTCATGGGAGACCTGAATGTGAACTTTCTAAAGCAGGACAACAAAGAATTCAAGGCTATTTTGAGTGTTTTTGGTCTGAAACAAATGGTTGAAAAACCCACGAGAGTAGCAAAATCATCTGAAACTCTGATAGACGTCATCTTAACAAATAACCCGGCAAATATGATACAAACTGAAGTTATTCCTACCAGCATCGGTGGTCATGACATGGTTGACTGTGCAAGGAAATTGAATCACTCTGGTTTCAAGCCAAGGAACATAGTCTGTCGCGATTATAAGAACTATCGGCCAGAGGAAATGAATAAAGATCTAGAGGCCATTGACTGGTCTACTTTTTACATCTGTAGAAATGTAAACGAAGCATGGTCCCCAATGAAAAATACTTTAGAAAAACTTTTTGAGCGCCATTCCCCAAAGATACACAAAAATGTAAGGAGTAAGCCTGCTCCATGGCTAAACACTGAAGTCAAAAAACTTATGAACGACCGCGATAAACTTCTCCGCAAATCGAGAAGAACGAGGGCGGAAGTGGACATTTCTCATTATAAACGAAAAAGAAATGAGGTCAACATTGCAATTAGAAAAGCAAAATCGACATATCATAAAGACCTACTAAGAGAAAACAGTGCCAACCCAAATAAGTTTTGGAAAGCAATTAAATCCATATATCCAACCAAGGCAGCAAATGCGGGATCATCGATGCACTCCTTTGATTTACAAGGTGAAAATACAAACGATGCGGTTAAGGTGGCCAACGGTTTCTGTACCTTTTTCACAACAATCGTTACAACTTTACGTGAAAAGGCGATTCCACTCTGTAACTTTGTTTGGAGACCCCCAAGGCCAGTACGCAATAGAGCTGAAAATGAATTCAAATTTCGCCCCGTCTCAAAGCTTGAAGTCGAGCGAGATCTAAAGTCCATTAAACGTACCAAATCAACCGGTATTGACAATCTGCCCCCAGGTTTGCTGAAGGATGCTGCATGCAACTTATCCGCACCTCTGGCCCACCTAATTAATCTCTCCTTGCAGACAGGGACTTTACCAGCAGACTGGAAAGTTGCAAAAGTTGTTCCAGTACACAAATCCGGTTCATTTTCCAGCTTCGACAATTACAGGCCGATTTCAATACTTCCGGTTCTGTCTAAAATCATCGAAAAGGCCGTACATTGGCAAGTCATGGGATTCCTTGAAGTTAATAAGTTTCTATCAAAGTTTCAATTTGGATTTAGGCCTAAGTTGTCCACGGAGTCAGCAGCAACTCTCTTATTTGATGAAATTCGGCAACATGTAGATGAAGGGAAAGTAGTTGGTGCAACGTTCATTGACTTAAGTAAGGCATTTGATACCATCAGCCATTCGAACCTGCTTCAGAAATTACCTCAGTACGGAATCTGTGATGAAGAACTTGGATGGTTTACAGATTATCTTTTTCATCGATCAATGGCTGTTAGCTATGGTGGCTGTTTGTCTAACAAGCAAGATATTCAAACAGGAGTGCCGCAAGGATCAATTCTGGGTCCCCTACTTTTCATAATATTTTTCAATGACAGAACTAATGTGATAAAAAGTGCAAAAATTGTGTAGTATGCTGATGATACAGTGATATATGTAGCTGATAAAGATGTAGCAGTTATTAATTCTGAGCTCACCAAAGATATGGATGCTATTGCCAAGTGGCTGGACGAAAATGCGCTGATAATAAATCTTAAAAAAGGAAAAACTGAGTCGCTTCTTTTCGGAACATCACAGAGGATTGCAAAGCAAAATGAGACACTCACTGTCATGTACCGAGGCGCAAATGTATTGAACACAAGCCATTACAAATATCTTGACATTGAAATCGACAGCTCTTTGAATCTCAATAGCCATTT